GAGGGTGGTATCCGATCCATTTTCTGCAAACGCTACGGCTTGGGCGATGCCACGCGGAGTCTCCACCATATTGGTGTTATTCCCAAGCGGAACGGCTGGCTTGACACCTGTCCGGTAATGCAGACAGATTTTGATGTATCCGCCGCAGAGTGTTCGTTGGTTATATCGACCTGGTCATTATTTGTACGCGGCTGGACTCCTCCATCGTGGTGTAATAAGGGGTGGTGCTGAACCCTGCAATTGTCTTGACCACAGTTGATTCGGTTTCTGCAAATGGCTGCTCTGTGGGTATCGCTCAAGCACACAAAGCAGAACTCTGTCCTTTTAGCGACTGTCCAGCGGTCCATCATCTTCATTGTCAAAAACTCTGGGCAGGTAACAAGCTTGTGGACACCTGTGCACAGTTTGCACTTATTCGGTCTTTGTGGGTCATATGAGATTAAGTTGGTGCTCGCCCAGTTGTGTGGGGAATATAGGCCTCGAGAACCAGACGGCGCAAATATGATAAAGGTCTAGCGGTCCTGATGCTTTCCCTCGCTAGTTGAACGAATCGACTATTAGCTGTGCGAGGTTAGCAGCACATGAATTGAGTGAGTTCGTCAAAGGTTGCTTCTCTGTTCCTTTTCTCGATTTGATCGGCCTCGGTCGCCCAGGCTGTCTGCATTTCGGCCGGCAAACATCTGACAATCGATTCCAGCGTGTGAAGTGCATCCAGATCCGACCGATATTCGAGGTGGTTGAGGGCGATGCTGCAGTTCGGCATCTTGATGACCAGGTTTGCTAGAGAACTGGTATCACCTCTTGTGCGCCTCGCCTCTGCTAGCACCCCGTCAATCATGTTTTGTGCCACTCGGAATGGTTGGCCGAACATCTCCTTCAGTATACTTCTGGCTTTCGGGTAGCCCACATCCGGGTCCAGCATTGCACATCCTTGTATAGCCTCTTTAGCCTTCCCCCGAAATTGGTGTGGAAAAAACAGAAACCATTGCCCTGCATCGTCGGTTTTACATTCAGCAAAATTCTCGTGTTGGCGAATGAATTGGTAATAACAATATTGGTAATATTGTTCGGGATCACCATTGAAAGGTGTCAGTTCAACTCTTGGCAAATCGAAAACAACCTTGCAGTACGTTTGCGCGCGGTTTGAAATTTTGAAGTGCTCTGGTTGAAAATACGTTTTGGTACTATTTCTGTGGAATATCTTACGATATTTCACCTTTTTTCTGACAGGAAATCTGTCTAAGCAGTTGTCAAGCGTATTTTCTGTGTCCTCTTAGGAGGTTGCATTACATATACTGTGGTAGTTTGCTCACCGTAAATTATCCCTGCAGTGCGTTAAAAAGCACGGTAAAGCAAACTATACAGTCCGTTTTACTACACTACTTTTAAACGAAAGCTCGATAGTAAAATATCTAGCTTCAGATATACCGCTTTTAGAAGGTTTTTGCAAACGAGCTCTGTTAACCGTTTTTGAGCAATTACTGACGCACTTTTCACGTTTGGTGTTATACAGTAAAGTTGGTTTCCTATATTTATCAGTTCATCTGCATTGCGCATTTTTGTTCAAAATATGCCACGTGTCAACTTCCCGTGTCTGAATGAAGAGTGCGGGAAAAAGGTGGTAAATGGCATAATGTGCGACGCATGTGAAAAATGGGCTCACCAAAAGTGTACAGGGGTCTCTACGGAGATCTATGCGTTGTACAGTAATCACAATGGACTGGAATGGGTGTGTAGCGGTTGCAAAGCGATCGCTCGCCAGCATATAGCCCAAAGTGCTGTCCCCGGAAAGGTACTAAGACTGACGGAGAAAAAACGAGTGGAAAGTACGAAAGAAACGACTGCAGAGGGGCAGCCAAAACTTAAGCCGAGGTGGTGAAAAAATCACCTGGCGAACCTGCTCCAGGAGCACGCAAATTGCAACCAAAGGCTAAGACTGTCAAATCAAAGTCAATGACAGTAAATCCGCGAATCGCCAAGGGTGCCCAGGATATCCTGAGTAACAGCTTTCACCACATCGAGAGTGAACTGCACATGTTGCGTGCTGAAGTAGCCTCGATCAAGGCTGTTAGGGTAATTAGAACGTCCTCAATAAAGAGGAACCAATAATCAGGGAGTCTAAAACTCGCCGCGAACTGGACCGCCGCCGGGTGACCGATATCCTTAGACTGGTGGGCTTAGACCCAAAATGTCACATATAAAGAACACATAGTCTAGGGGTTTGGAAGCAGCCTAACCCGAACGTAGGGTCCGCGGCCCGAGCCATACTAGTGGAGTTCGGAGTGACGGGGCAAAGGGACATGCTCTTGGCAAAAGCATCCCTTGTAAGTCAGCGCACAAAAGGGCGCTAAGAAATAGCTCCGGAAATCCCTAGGCCATATAGGAAAGCAGAGTTTAAGGGGTCCAAGAGAACGGTTAGTAACCATAGAACGCAGCCATCGACAAGCAATCCCTTCAGAAACGGGGTGGTGATCATAGAAGATATAATGGAAGAGGAGGAGTGGAAGACCTGCTTGCCGAGCAGGTCGGTAAGTGTGGATGAAGAGAAAATTGATCAAACGTTCACTCCATTGTGGTGGGCGTCCATGGTAGAGCAAACGGACTCCGAACTCAGACGTCGCAGGACAACGACCAACACTGACCCTTCAAAAAACGGGGTCACAGCTCGGGTGCTGCTTCCGAGACAAAAGCAAGAGTAAGGGGCTTAGAATGCCCAATTCCGGAAAAGTTAGGTATGCTATGCGCTAATGCGTGCAGTATCCGGAATAAGTGGGCAGAGCTAGGAGTAACATCTAAGGAATTCAAAGCTGCAGTGATTGTTGTCTCTGAAACGTGGTTAAGTGAAAGCGACCACATACCACAGATCATTGCAAACAGCTTTGAAATCCACAGACAGGACCGAGGAGGACAAGTTCAAGGCGGAGGAGTAGCGCTTCTCACTCGCAAAGAAACTCCCCACAGGAGATTAGACACAGAAGTCTGCACTCCCAATATACAAATGGGGGCTATCTCACTTCTTTCTAGGACCAACAGCGCCACCATAGCTAGTGTTTACAGAAGTCCGGGAGCCACCATGGAAGAAGATGAGCAACTAATCAGGGCACTGAATGTACTAGCACAGTCCCAGCAGAAATTGGTCATTGCTGGGGACTTCAACCTTCCCGGAATCCAGCGGACAACTGAGACCTGCTCGGAGAGTGCACCAGAGGAAAAGTTCCTGGAATGGATACACTCCAGTGCCCTCCTGCAACACATGAGGGAAAACACCAGATTCAGGACTAGGCAGCATCCATTTCTCCTAGATTTGGTATTTACTAGACAACAAAAGGACGTAGAAGACGTCTCTTTTCACCCACCTATGGGGAGAAGTGACCACCTAGTGATAAAAGTGACCCTCAATGCAAGGGCATCCAAAGCGCCTAGCCGGAAAATCAGGAACTTNAAGTAGCCTGCAGACACGAGCCTTAACTCTAGAATGGGGAACAGAAAATAATCGGATTACAGTCGAGGCGCTCTGGGACAGAGTCAAGAGTAACCTACAGGAACTTCAAGATGAGTTCGCCCCTCTTAAAATANTAGAGAAAGCCCGTAATAAGCCCCTATGGTGGTCACCGGCAATAAGGAGAGCACTAAGGAAAAGAAACAGATGCTGGAGGCACTACAGAGAGGTCAACGCCCGGCAGCGTGAACAAACTATGCGGTCAAAAGAAATAGGACAGTCAGTCTCATAAGATTAGAAAAGAGAAAATATAAACTAAAGTAAGCGGTTACCGTCAAGCGGAAACCGAAAAGCCTTTTCTGATATGTTCAATCGAAAAGAAACTTGAGGGACGCCATAGGTGCCTTGGTTCTGGAAATAACACGATTGTGGCAGACGACAGCAAGGCAGTCGCATTACGCAACTATTTCGCGAGTGTTCACAGGCTAGACAGCAGGATATTAGACCCTAGCTCCCCGATTTCTCTTCCGCCGAGCATAAGAGAGATGCAGATATCCGCATTGGATGTGCAGAAAGTGTCAGGGAAGCTGGATATAAATAAGGCCCCGGGTTCCGATAGCATATATTCTGCCATTGTGAAACCAATAGCCCAAATCTTAGCAGACCCCTTAAGAGTGTTGTTTCAAAAATTACTGGAGGAGGGTATGCTTTCGGAGGACTAGAAAACTGCGGTAGTGGTGGCATTACACAAAGGTGGTAGTATATCTAACCCACAGCACCACAGACCAGTTAGCCTAACTAGTGTTCTATGCAAGTGCGTGGAAAAGCTAATTAGGACTCAGGTCTGTACCCACCTTTTAGAATATACATTACTTAGCCTGTCCCAGCATGGCTTCATGAAAAACAGGTCATGCCTGACTAACCTCTTATGTTACCTCGACCAAGTCACAGAGAGGATCGACGAAGGTTAAACAGCAGAGGTATGATACCTAGATTTCAGTAAAGCTTTCGATTTTGTAAGTCATAGATTGCTTCTACACAAGCTACGTCATTTCAGAATCACAGGGGCAGTATATAATTGGATACCAGCGCTCTTGATCAATAGGACAGTTGCATCAGGGTGGAGAGCAAATGTCACCAGTCCATCACGTCACTAGTGGCGTGCCACAAGGGTCGGTGTTAGGCCCGCTTCTTTTTCTGCTGTTCATAAATAATCTAGCAGAAATTATCAGCTCATCTTGCTTCATCCTCGCTGATGATGTAAAGAGGGTTGGATCTAGTGGAAGATCACAATTAGAAGAGGATATTGCGAAGGTGCTCAAGTGGTCCCA